AAAAAGTATTATGACTCACTGAACGAATATTTAAACAACATTGAACATGATAAATAACAGCATACAAGTCAACTAATAAATTAACAAGAAAATTTTTACCTTGTTTTGTCAACCAATGATAATATCCGCTAAATCAATAAATCAATAAATGGAGAGTGAATATTATGTTGAACTTGACTGTTGAATATTGAACAAGTTAAATGGGTTTCATAGTTTAATGATAGATCAGTGGATAGGTAACACATTGAAGGAGTGTAAAGAGAATTGTACTGGCTAAGTGAATTGGAAGTTAGGCGTTAGCCCACGAGATCGAAGGTCTTGAGTTCGATGTCTACACGTGTAGAGTGGGAGGAGGAGTCTCATACTAGAATGAAATTTCTGTCCAATGATTCAAGAGTATTCAGTAGTGTTCTAGTTAAGATAATGATATGCTCGAAACTATTACGAGTTCACCTTACCCGGTAAACGGAACGAAGATTAACGATACAGTGACACGATAGGCTATTCTAATCTGTTTGTCCCCGGCCCAGCTAACTAGTGAAAGAAGTCTTGATAAGGTGTAGAGAATGTTTTCTACAAGCACTCAGAAAATACTGAGGTTGACAAGCACACAAAACAAGCTTATTTATAAAATGATAGAAACGCCCTTGGTGAGAGACGCAAAATATTGTGCTAAAATGCTTCATCAACCAATGACAGTCAAGGATTTTCCGAGTGGGACATGTGAGCTGAAGGTCAACTGGCGCGTCCCTGGTCACGTGTGTGAGTCTACGGTGTGGGCAGCGGGGAAGTAACATCCTCCCTCATACCCATTAAAAGCATTCATTGTTTGTGTTCTCTCAAATCCTAACCTTCTGAATTCCTCATCATCTCTATCTTCCTCTTTTTAAGTTTATTTCATTAGATTCTACTTCTTGAATAATATTCTCGACCTCCAATCTCTCCGATTACTGCTAATACTTCTAATACCTCTACTACGATGGGATTTGAATTGACAATTCGAACTGTTTGTGCTAATATGATATGGGAACTTGACCTGTGATGTACTTACATAGGTACGAAGTTCTACGTTGCTGTTGATTGATGGATTGGTTATTAACCATAGTTTTCCATGGAGATTTTTAAACTTTCTGAAATAAAGGTTTCTTCTTATTTTTTTTCTTGTCTGGTTTTTGATTTATGACCGCAGAGAGTGAGGGCGGTTTGATTAGTTCTACTGTCGAAGATTATTTTTCGTGTGTGTGTATAAGACGTATCTCAATACATATTTAACAGTAATTATAGTTTCAATGTAGATTACCTCAAGTGTCACCTACGATGTTGTACTGAGACATATTGTAGTGAACGAGAATACAGGTGGAGCAACTGAATTGTATTTAAAGAAAATTACAGAGTTACTCAGTAAAATCGGAAAACCATATCGTAGATCGTTAATTTGCGAAATATCAGTTCATCATATCGAACTGGACTATTCCTGTTGCAAAACATCAATCCATTGTCTGACATTTCAATATTCACGCGTTTCATACAAATTCCATTGTGTTCTAACTCTTCCTTTCTTGAACTTCCCCTCATATTCTGCTGCCAGACATTACGTTGACGCTCACGTCATATACTACTTATAAGTAGCTCGCACAACAGCACCACAATATGAACTCACTTATTTGAATATGATGGAAATAGAATGAAAATTTTAAATTATATCTGTTACGCCTACAGGTAAACACGTCAACTTGATATACAGGTCCTGGTCGTGGTTATAAAACGTTACAGATAATGCGTATTTATACATTTTAGTCGAATAGGAAACAGCATCGAAGTCTGTGACATTGACAGTTAAGACGACCAATAGGAAGTAACATTTGAAGTTACATTGATAGTCAGAACCACCAATAAGAAACAACATTGGAGTAGGTGACACTGATATCTAGGACGACCATAAAATTGACCTGTAGGAATTAACCAATAGGAATTGACCAACAATTCTCTTAGGATACTGGATGAGTATCCTAGCAAAATCTTAATTGAATTCTAATCTAATAAATCAAAGGTAATTAACAGAGGGATTCATTACGCGCGTCTCATTTTCGTCAGCTGGATGCATATGTGTCACATCTTAGAGTTGATGTTGTTATGACTGCCACTAAATGATATGCTTGAATGCTACTATTACGATTTCATCTTAGTCGGTAAATGAGAATGAAGACAAATGATCCAGTGACACGATAGGCTACTCTAATTTGAGCTTCCCAAGGCCCCACTAAGTAGAAGAATATGTCTTGACAAGATGTAGAAAGAATGCATTCTACAAGCAGTCAGAAAGTGTGAGGCTGACAAGCACCCAAATCGAGTTTTTTTATACAATGATAGAAACGTCCTTTGGAGAGCCACAAAAATATCATACTAAAATACTACATCAACCAATAACAGTCAAGGAATATCCCAGTAGGAAATGTATAATCTTAAGGTCAACTGATCAAGCCATGTGTGAAAGCATAAAATCTAGAATGATGACCTTTATCAAGTGAGTTCTGTAGATTTAACGTCCCCAACAGATGTGTAATCAAAGACCTAAACCCAGTACGGGGTTTCTCTTCTTCAAACACCACTGCTTCATCTACTTAGCTAATGAGCACTGTGGGTCATTCGATTGCGCAATGGAATAAAGATTCATGAATACTTTGACATGCAGGTACATTTAACCGACGAATAATCAAATAATCCATTGTGTTTACTCATTACACAAAAACATACAGCAATTTAATCGTTTATCATAGTCGGTCAATCAACAATAACATAGAATTTCGTGCGTACATACATCTTTTCAGGTTGCCATACCACATTACCACAGAGATGTAATTGTCAGCTCAAATCTCATAGTAGTAGAGGAAGTAAAAGTATTAGTAGTAGTCGGAGGGATTATGGTTTGAAGATATTATTCAAGAAGTATAATCTAGTGAAATAAAATTAAGAAGAGAAAGATAGAGGTGATGAGGAATTCAAAGGATTGCAGTTTGAGCACAAAGAATGGATGCACTTGTGCCATCGCAAACGATTTTTAGCCATGACATTTAAGGTCTCTAACCATCGATTACTATTATCTTGTGGACTCCAACCAGGCGGTCTACATCTGCTAACATGGCTCTGTGGGTGATCCGTTAGAAATGATAAGTGAAGCGGTTAACACGCTCAACTACTTCACTCCCTATTACTAGTTCAGCTGCCAATACAAGCCAATCCTGAAGCAAAATTTTGCATTTTGACGAGGAGAATCGCATCTAGAACATGCTTGCATTGTTGCTCAAGGTGGCCACTATACTGATTGTTTTCAGAGTCATCGGCATATTCTAAGTCAACAAGCATGTCTCCTGGTAGAAGATCCACTCCTAAAAAGTCAGATGAAGATAATGTAATCTCTAAAAAATCATGTCAATGACAAAGTTAAACAAGAATGGAGAAAGTGGACATGCTTGACGAACACCACTTAAAGTAATCAATTCCGATGACAGTTCACCATAAACTCTCACCCAACCAGTCGTATTCAAGTAGAGAGCTTGTATAAGGTTATTGTACTTCTTTGGTACACATTTTAATGACAAACACTACCACAGAACATCATGAATTTTAACTGACATATCATCATTAATTTATAAGTTGTATCAGTTAAAACAAATTATTTCAGAAACAAAAACACAAACAACTAATAATCATGATGATTGAACAATAATATTCAATGGGTAGATGATTCAAAGTTCAATAATTATTGAACAATTGAACAAAATTCAAATTTAACATTTTATATTAATAGACTTCTCTTTTCATGAAATTATAAACTATTTTATTGAATGTATATATATATATATATATATATATATATATATATATATATAATTGCATTACGGGGTTGTGAAGATTGTTAAATTACACATATTTTGAAACCATGAATCGGTTAGGGCGTTCGCGCACAATACCAAAGGTCCTGGGTTCGAATCCTGCGAGAGGTGCAGGAGTCGTGGATGCGCGCTGCTAAGGAGTCCCATACTAGGACGAAACGGCCGTCCAGTGCTTCCAGGTTTCTAATGGTGGTCTAACATTGATCGATTCATGGTTTCAATATATATATATATATATATATATATATATATATATATATATATATATATATATATATATATATATATATATAAACATTTACACAGGATATTTGCTTTAAGGTGAAGGACATTAGAAGAAAAAAAATTAATGCTACTGTAATGTAAATTTATTTTAATAGTAATTTGTGTGCATTTTAATTTGTCTGTTGATGATTTGAATTTGTTTTTTCTTGTATTGATGTCAACAACTGTGATTGGTCAGTCTTTGTTTTCTTGTTCATTCTATATATCGAGTTATAGAGTGTTACGCCTGCAGGTAAATACGTCAACTTGATATACTTGAACTATTATTACGAGTTTACCTTAGTCGGAAAACGAGAGCGAGGATCCGGCGACACGACATGCTACTCACATCCGATTATCCCAAACCCCATATTGAGTAAAAATAAGAAGACTTGATATGAAGTAGAACATGTATTCTACAAGCATCCAGAAAGTACGAGGTCCGAATCCAGAAGAGAATCAGGATCCCGGACTTTGGATCCGGGACCGGGTCCTGGTTATAAAACGTTACAGCTAATGCATATTTATACATTTTGGTCGAATAGGAAACAGCATTGAAGTCTGTGACACTGACAGTTAAGACGACCTCTAAACCACTGATCTGACATTCGTTGATGTTGATATCTAACAGCTCAATGTTCAAGAGGCTAAGCGTTCGCTCACACTACTAAAGATCGTAGATTGGTTTCCCGCTTGCTAAGTAGTGGATTCGCATTGTCACTGAGCTGTCTCATACTGTCAGATTCTAAAATAGTGGTCGAACACTGACCATTTCATGATTTCAGTTGAACAATGCAAGTTCAATCGCAACAATTCATCAAATATATTCTTAACTATACTTACTTTGGTTTAGTAAAATTTAATGAAGCATTTATTCCAACAAGAGGTTGATCATGATTAGTGTTCAATGTTGAAATATTGAAACATTGATCCATTGATACAATGGAACTTTTCATTGAACTTTTTAATTGTCCTGATATCATTAATTCATGTTGTTTATTTAATGAAGAATGATGATAATTCATATGAGTAGTATTAGTAGTAGTAGGAGTAGTAGTAGTAGTTTTATGGTCATTTTGTTTTAATGGACTATTATTATTGTTGTTGTTGTTATTAGTACTGTTATCAACATTACTACTACTACTATTATTATTACTAATTGTATTACGTAATGGCGGTTTCGGTAGTGTGGATTGATTTGATTGACAATGTAAATGATTCTTGTCTTTTATGTGTTGATTTTGATTTTGATTTTCATTTTCATTGGGAATAAGAGGAGATTTATGTAATTTGATCATTGATGAATGAAATGGGGCAGCTGATGCTGATGATGTCGATGTTGGTGTTGTTGAAGAGGTGAATTGTTGTTGTAATAATTTTTTTTTAGTTTCTTGTTTAAATTTTGATAAATTGAAAAATAGACCAAGTATATATTTTAATTTACTGTCAACAATGTCTAAAAATGAAATAATTGAAGAGTTAGATGAAAGAAAAGATGGAAATATATTTAAATTAAGAAGTTTGTTTGTCTGAAAACATGAATCAATCAATGTTAGACCAGTATTAGAAATCTAGGAGCATTGTATGGCCATTTCGTCTTGATATAGGACTCAGTGTGTGCGGTGTGCATCCACGATTCCGGCAAATCACACAGGATTCGAACCCGTGGATGCCTAACCTCATGTGTTTACTAATGACTAGCTAGCTCTGTAAGGAAGTTTCTCCAAGTTCAGAGTCATTCAGAGCCTGAATGATATGGCTCGAAATCATTTGCAATGGCGCCAATGCATTTATGCTTTGTGTTCTCTCAAATCCTAATCTTCTGGATTCTTCAACACCTCTAGTTTAGGCTTTCTAAACTTCTAATACTTCTTGAATAATATCTCCTAATCCTAACCTCTCCGATTATTTCTAATAACTTTACTACCTCTACTACTATTGGATTTGAATTGACAATTACATCTCTATGCTAATGTGGTATGGCGACCTGAAGTTACGTATATACGTACGAAGTTCTACGTTGCATCTGACTGACTGGCTTCTCCGAGTTCTAGTGAGAAGTGGTGACCAGTGGAGGTCAAACCTGTTCAGGTGTGAAGCAGTGCTCACCAAAGACGGTGGATGAGGTTTTGCAAGAACGCAAGTTGATCAAAGTTAGTCATTAACACTATTAGATACCGGTCCCAGTGGTTCAGTAGTTAGATATTCCCACGCAAAACAGAAAGTCCTAGGTTCGAAACCTGCCAGTAGAGAGAGTCGTGGATGTCCACTGCTGATCAGCCTCATATCAGGATAAAATGGCAGTCCACTGCTTCTAGGTTCCTAATGGTGATTTAACAATGATTGATTCATGATTTCAAAAAGTAACTTAACGATCTCCAGAAACCCATAATGCAAATTAGGAATTGTCAATAAAGCATATAATGATCGAAAAAGATAATAGCTATCTGGACTCAGTAGTTGAATGGAAAATGCGAAGGTGCTTAGATGAAACGGAACTCGGTTCGAGTCCCTCAACTGAACATCAACTCTGAGATGTGACAGGTACATAGAGCTGAGGAATTCCATATAAGACGAAACACACACCTTAGATTCTTATGCTAGTCACATTTTATCGAACCTAATTCACATCCAATTTCTTATGATTTCAAGTTCAATTCTGCTTGGGATGTTAGATCCCCAGAACTCGCTTAATAAATGCCTTAATTTTGGATTTTACGTTTGCCAGCATGGGCTGATCAGTTGATTTTGAGATTTCATTTCCCACCAGGATAATCCTTGGCCGCGATTGGCTGCTGTGTATTTTAGTGTGCTATTTTTGTGACTGTCCTAAGGACGTTTCTATGATGTATAAGTAAACGAGAGTGGTGTGCTTGATTGTATTGTGTGATTGCTGGGTGTTTGTAGAATATGCTTTCTACGCTTACCAAGTCTTCTGTCGGGTGTAGGCAGTAACTATCAAAGAGAAATGGGTGAGGTCGCGCAAAATCCCTAGATCAATCAGAGTTAGACATTAACACCGTTGGATGCGGGGCCCAGTGGTCTAGAGGTTAGGTGTTACATACTAACTACGCTTACCAAAACTTCTGTTTTGCAGTTTTGGAATTCAAGGTAGCCTACCTGGACGCTGGTTTATTGTCTCGTTCGCGTTTATCGACTAAGATGAACTCGTTATAGCTGCAAGCGTACCTAGTGACGAATGTAACAAATTCCATAATTACTTTTTATTTTGTGAAACTAAACATTAAATATACAAGAAATGTCTCTATTTCATCTAAAAAAATCTTTCCTACTCATTTGTACTCCTCAATAAGGTGTATTTAGAATTTCGAGAGAACAATTATTCCTATTCCTAACTTCATAGTTTAAGATGTTATCACTGAACTATACAAATCATTCTCTATGATAAAGAAACAGTATTTTTTCCACATTGAGATCATCAATCAATCATTGTTAAACCATCGTGAGATACCTGGAAACATTGGAAGACGGACGTCTCATCCTGGTACGGGACTCATCACTGGCAATGCTCATCTACATCTCCTTCGACTCTGATAGGATTCGAAACCCAGGATCTTCGGTCTTCCGCGTTAACGCTTAACCTCTGGACCATTGAATCAGCATTCATCGGTGTTCATGTCTAAGTCTGATTAATCTCTGATATTTCGTAACCTCACTCATTTGTCTTCGCCAGTTGCTACTGTCTACACTCGGACAGGGCTGAACTCCACTAATCACACATGTTCTCACTAGAACTCCTGAAGAAGCTAGTCACCATTAGTAAGCACACTACTGATGAGTAATAGTCTCATACACCGGGATGAAACGGCCATCTTCCATTACTTCCAAGTTTATAAAAGCTGATGATACTTTAACAATGATCCGATAATGATTTCAATGTATAAAACGAAACAATTTTTCAACACAATTAAATCATATTACTTTTTTATCAAAAACAATACTACTTACAAATACTTTATCAGTAGTATATTTAATATAACAAAATAATGATGATAATTGTTTACCTTGAGCAGTGAATCCACTTGTTTCAATGCCAAGTAAATGTAACACTTGAAAACAAGCCAATACATTATGAAGCTAAAAATAATTTTGTGATGAGAAAAAAAGATAATAATAATAATAGTTTATATTCTTGAAGTTAATGAAGATTAGTGTGTTTTTACTGCTACATTTGAAATCATTAATCAATCATTGTGTTAGACTATCATTAAAAAACCTTCAAACACTGAATTAGTCGTTTCATCCTGGTTTGGAACTCATCAGTGGCAGTGAGCATCCACAACCCCTGATACTCACTGCAATTGAACACAGGACTTCAGGTATTGAGTGCGAATGTCTAACCTTTGGAATATATTAGGTTTGGTAGTATACAGTTTGATGAAATTTTGTTCAGATTATATGATTCTTATAATATAATGTAGCTGTTTGATCACTCTCTATGTCTGTCTCTCTCTCTCTCTCACTCGCTCTCTCCTTCATTCAGTTACGTTTAGTTAAGAAGTTAATGGTAACATTTAAATCTGTTGAGTGTAGACAGTTACCTCACGATCGAAGCTGCTACCTTGACATGGTGCTCGTCGGGCTTGCCTATCGTGATGACCTAACCGAGCTATATTGGATGGAACTTATGTTCCTGAAGGTTCTACCATGCCAAGCAGGTCGATTGGAGAGCGATGAGACTAAAAGCAGCTACCCAAGGTTTGAGGGCGAAGTCGTACTGCTGACTGTGATGAAGGGGTGTGACAGCAGTAAAGTGTTTCCCTCGGAAAACCAGCATCTGCAGCGATGCTGACTTCTCACAAGGAAGGAAGGGTTAGAAAAGGCCGACTATAAAAATGTCACACCTCACCCTATCTCACGGATTTTTGTCTCCGGAGGTAAGGGTGCCCACTAAGGGCTTTCAAGAACGGAGCCAAGACTCAAAAAACTTCTCATAAAAAGGCCATGCGTGAACGTCCTTAAGCAGTTGTCCCGTGGGCTCTGCGGTCACACTCCTAGGTCTCCAAGACCAACACTAATCTATCTTCCTTTTCAGGTCCCTGAAGAAACACCCTTTCACGGTGTGGGCAGCAGGGAAGTGATAACCGCCCTCATTCCCGTAACAGCACACGAGATAGTTACCTGCCGAAGACAATGAGTGAGGTTAAACCATATCAGTGATTGATTAAAATAAGATATTGATATTATCGGATGCTGGCTGATTGGTCTAGATGTTAAAGGTTTGTTAGCGAGACCTTAGTGTCAGGATATTCATTCAATATCCTAAGAGAATTATTTGTAAGTTCAATTCTTTCACTCAATTCCTATTGGTTAATTCCTACTGGTCAATATTATCGTCATCCTGACTATCAATGTCACTTCAAGGGTTGTGCCCTATTGATCGTCCTAACTAACTATCAATGTCACATCCTTTAAATGTTGTTTCTTATTCGACCTAACTGTATAAATATGCATTGTCTGTAACAGTTTATGACCCAGATCCTTGGCCTCTTCTGGACTCGGACCTAGTACTTTCTGGATGCTTGGAGAATACACGTTCTACTTCTTATCATGTCTTCTTCCTCTACTCAATGGGGGGTTTGGGACAGTTAGATTAGAGTAGCTTGTCGTGTCACCGGATCATCGATCCCCGCTCTCGTTCACCGACCAAGGTGAACTCGTAATAGTTCAAGCATATCAATCGATGTGTTGACTTGCATGAGTAACACATAGGTCCTGGATTTGACTCCTGAATGAGATAGTCGTGAATTCACACTATCATTCAGAAGTCTTATGCCGTTCAGTGCTCCTAGGTTTCTAAAATTTCAATAAAATTTAACAATCTCCATAACTATGCAATGAAAAAAAATAAAAACTGTAAATACTGCTTTGAAATGATACGTCGGTTCAAAGAACTCATGATCTGATTTCTTAGCTACTTTTAATAATCCTAGACCGAAGACAATGGTTTACGAAAGTTCATATCATTCAGTACGAACATAGAAAGGAAGAATCACACGTATCGAGAAGATTAAAGAGTCTGCATTAATCGATTTACTATTGAAGGCAGTAAGACACTGATTACTAGGCAAAATGTATACATCTTATAGTCAAACATTTATTTACAGAGGAAGAGAATTATTGGAGATCTTCTTCCACGGATCATTCATTCTAATGTCTGATATGGTCATTGCGCGTGAACAAACAAATCCTCTTGTTGATTTCTACTCTATACTCATTAAGTTTAACTGCTTACAAGAGTGTGGAATAAAGTATTGTCTGCCGATAACTATGGTTCTCTATTTCGGTCTTGAATCAGGTATCTGATATAATGTGATATTATTTCGGTGTAATGGGTATCCAACTCAGTAATAGTATATACGACAGTTACACATTTACTATACATTATCGCATTATCATAGGTCAGGTCAGTGTGCTAGAGGTTAGGCATTCACGTATGAAACGAAAGAACCCTAATTTTGATCGCCAATTGCCGGATCAACGAAAGCATACTATCACTGAAGAGCTCCACACTAGGACGAACACCGACTGCCTCGACAAGTTATGTTTTGTGGTATAGGAGTAGGTTGAAAGAAAGTTAGGGGCGGTCACACTGAAACATGGCACAAATCCATGAAATCACTAACAAGTGGACTGAGTCATGTAGATAGACGAAGACTACCTGGTTAGGGTCCGCGAGACGAAAGTCACCAATGGTTGGATACCTTGAATGATATGGCTCGAAATAATCTGCAGTGGCTCAGGTGCATCCACTCTTTGTGTTCTCTCAAATCCTAGCCTTCAGAATTCCGCATCATCTCTACCTTTCTCTTTCTAAATTTATCTCACTGAACTATACTTCTAGAATAATATCTTCGATTCGTAATCGTCTCCATTTCTGCTAATACTTCTACTATCTATCTATCTATCTACTATTTGAACTAACAGTGACGTCTCTGTGCTAATATGGTAGGTCAACTTGAACACTGACGTACGTACGTGCGTACGTACGAAGTTCTACATTGTAATTGACTAACACTAAGATGAAACCACCATCTAGTGATCTAACTTAAAACCCGAATTCCCTGATTTCGATTAAACTTAACTTTGTTCACATGCCCTCTGTTAGTGGGACACAGATGGAATTAAAACATGACTAAGTTGCTGCGCACTGATTGGCTAATTTCCTATCCAATCAGCGCCTGATTGATTCTTGGAGAACAGGGTAGAAAATTCTCGTGTTGTTAGCTGCATGCTGATTGGCTAAATCTAATCCATTCGATCACGTGAATTTCTATCCAGAAGCTTCTCATAAAAATACTATAAAGAATCTAACGTTGTATCTATTTTGCCTTCGCCTTCGGCTTCTTATTCCATTTAACCATGCTATTTTGGAATATAATCTTTTCCTGTTCCACCGTGTTTTTGATTCTTTAGAAGTTGTCTAGCGTATTGTGTGGTCAGAGAATACTAAGCAATAGGAATTAACTGGGAATTATTTCGAGCAAGCGCTACAATACCCTCTCATAACTGGTAGTTGACAGTAAATAAAATATAAACAAAATGATTTAATTATCCACTTACTGATTGATCGGAAGTTGTTGGATTTGGATATAATTGTTGAACTTTGATATTAGCTAACCAAAATAAGAACAATACAAGGTGAATTTGTAAAGGGAAAAATTAAATTAAATTAAAAATGAATCAAAGTATAAATGGAGGAAGAAGAAAATGACAAACATGGCTGAAACCAATGACATGAAAAAACTGACAGGGAATATATATAGATGTCAGTTAGTCAGCCAAACGTACATCAGTACCAGCTGACATACCACATTACCAAAGAGACACAAGTGTCAGTTCGAATCCCATGGTGGTAGAGATAGTAGAGGTATTAATGGTAATGAAGAAGACTAGGGTTTGAAGATTTTATTCACGAACTATACTTCAGTGAGATACATTTAGAAAGAGAAAGATAGAGGTGCTGAAGAATTCGGAGGATCAGAATTTGCGAGAACACAAAGAGTGGATGTTTCTGCATCATTGCAAATTATTTCGAGCCATTTCATTCAAGGTCACTAACCATCGGTGAATTTCGTCTCGCGGACACCAACCAGGTAGTCTACATCTACCAACATGAATCAGTCCACTTGTCAGTGACTGGATTTGTGTCATGTTTTGGTTTCGCCGACCCTAGCTTTCTTTCAAGCTATGCCTACACCACAAGCTTTTTGAGGCATTCAGTGGTTGGGCATTCGCAAAAAATATCCCAACCACCTCAAATGATGAAGTTTTAATACTTTATCTATTGATCTGCCATCCTTACCTAGTACTCGTTTCCTAATGGTAATATATATATTTTCATATTTCTATGACAAACCCTCAAAATATTTTCTTTTTTTATTATACTGCTAGGTAAATATCAGTAGTAAGATTTAATTCATAAAAAAAGATCAGTAACATGAAATTTACTCAGAGTAGTTTTAAACCTGAACATGAATACACATTCGAAAACAGAATAATAAACATAAAGTCACGAACCCATAAAAATAAGAGGCATTTAATACATTTGAGCCCTGGAAGTATGATGGATAGAAAATATTGTCAAAAATTTCAAAATGAGATGACAAGATTCACTCGATCCTTATCACTCTTTATTTATTGATTAGCCTGAACGTTGAGGGGTTGTTGTGAAGATTGTTAAGTTTTATTTGTAACCATGAATCGATCAATGTTAGACCACCATTAGAGAAACCTGGAAGCACTGGACGGCCGTTTCGTCCTGGTATGGGACTCATCAGCAGTGCGCATCCACTACTCCTTGTCACGACTTCCCACAAGAACTCGGAGAAGATTCTTCACCAAGCTAGTCACTAGTGGACACACGTAATTGCATTGAGGGGTTGTTGTGAAGATTGTTAAGTTTTATTTTTTGATCGATTCTTGGTTACAAATAAAACTTAACAATCTTCACAACAACCCCGCAATGCAATTGCGTGTGTCCACTAGTGACTAGCTTCGTGAGGAATCTTCTTCGAGTTCTAGAGGTGGGAAGTCCATGACCAGTGAAGTTCAAACCTGTTCGGATGTATACAGGGTATGAGGTTGTGTAACTCTGTGAATTTGATCAAGTTAGACATTAACACCGTTAGATTCAACCGGTTCAGTGGTCTAACGGTTAGGGAGATCGCACACAATACCGAAGGTCCCGGGTTCGGATCCTGCTGGGTGCAGGAGTCGTGGATGTGCACTTCCACTGATGAGTCCCATACCAGGACGAAACGGCCGTCCATTGCTTCCAGGTTTCTAATGGTGGTCTAACATTGGTCGATTCAGCCTGAACGTTCTCAAAACGAATGTGGAAACAACACACATGCTTATGTTATCATGTAGTAGCAGCAGCAATAAAAAAATGATCATCATCATATCAAAAATAAACCAGTTAACTTACCAACAGCATGTATAATATCAGCTAATAATAATAATCCATTTGATAAATCTTTTTGTATATTTTCAATACTAATTTCATATTTCATAAAATAAACCCTCAAAATATCTGTCATTTTAATGAAACTACTAGCTAAATATCAGTAGTAAGATTTTTATTCATAAAAAATCAGTAACATGAAATTTATTTGGGGCAGTTTTAAACCTTAACATGAATACATATTCAAAACCCATAAAAATGAGAAGCATTTAATAAATTTTATCCCTGGAAAAGTATGAGATCATGATCATCATCATATCAAAAATGAACCAGTGAACTTACCAACAGCATGTATAATATCAGCTAATAATAATCCATTTGATAAATCATTTTGTATATTTTGTATAAATTTTGTATAATTTGCTTTTTCTAAATAATAATTTGCCCAATTTGTGTATAGCTTTAGTTTTTTTTTAAAAAAATAAAAATAAAAAGAATATAGACGAAATAATAAATTCAATGAATAGAGTTGATAAATTTTAATTTTAGAAAAAAATCAATACTTTTCGCGGCTTTTTTTTTAAAATGGTTGTTGTTGTTGTTTTAATATACTAATTGTGTAGTGAATGAGAACACAGGTGAGGGCAACCGAATTGATTATATTTAACGAAAATTACAGAGTTACTCAGTAAAATTGGAAAACCATATCGTAAATCGTTCATTTGCAAATTATCAGTTCATCATATCGAACTGGACTGTTTCTGTTGCAAAACATCAATACATTGTCACTAATCATGCGTTTCATACAAATTCCATTGTGTTCTTCTAACTCTTCCTTTCTTGATCTTCCCTCATCTTCGGCTGCCAGACATTACGTTGACACTCACGTCATATACTACTTACAAGTAGCTCACACCACAATTGTATGCCTATTGGTGATGAATTTTTTATAGGAGAGTTGATGTTACCTTCAAAAGTCATAATTAGTGAGGTTCATTCGTGTTGGATTCAAAATAGTTGCATGTTAGTGACATTTAAAGGTAGTTGTGAATTGAGTTAGTCAATGTAACGTAGAAATTCGTGTGTGTGTACATAAGTTCAGGTTGCCATACCACATTAGCGTACAGAGACGCAAATGTCAAATCAAATCTCATAGTGATAAAGATAGTAGAGGTATTAATGGTAATGAAGGAGACTACGGTTTGAACATAATTTTCAAGAAGTATAATTCAGTGAGATAAGGTTAGAAAGATAAAGGTAGAGGTGCTAACGAATCCAGAAGATTAGAATTTAAGAGAACACAAAGAATGAATTCACCTGCGCCGTTGCAACCGATTTTGAGCCATGTCATTCAAGGTCTCTAATCATCGGTGACTTTCGTCTTGCGGACCCTAACCAGGTAGCCTACATCTACCAACATAACTCAGTCCACTAGTCAGTGACTTCATGGATTTCTGCCATGTTTTGGTCTGGCCGCCTCTAGATTTAACCCAACCTACTCCTATATCAACTCAATTGTGAATTGATATACATTAGAAATGAATGAATGACTAGATATCGATTTTGTATTCTTAAGACTAAAAACTCTTTATAAAACTGAGACATTATTGGTTGGACCTCTGGTAGAATAATGAAAATTTATTGTTTTGGAATCCTATACTTGAATTAAACATCTATTTATCGGCTCCTATCTTCAAATAGCTTTTCAACGACAATAATATTTTGACTATAAAACTGTAAATATAAACGCATGCAGTTTTTCAAAACATTTTATTAAACCAAATTTGTTTACTTACAAACAGATTAAGTAGTTAACAAAATTATCATAAAGTTTTGCCCATGTACAATTCTTGTAGCTTTTTACCAGAGGAGATTTATTGTCATTAATAAAATGTATTGGTCGGAAAAAATTTAAAACATCTGGATGCAAAATCCAAAATACCACAAAAATGCAGTGCTCTGCATATCAACTAGTCTTTTTGTTGTTATTTCAATCTTATTTTTACCAATCACAAAAAAAATTGTTCTCATTAGAACTTTCACACTTGACACGTTGAAATCATCAACTAATCATTATTAGACCATCACCATTAGAAACCTGGAAGCACTGAAAGACGACCGTTTCGTCCTAATGTGAGACTCATCAATGGCAGTGCACATCCACGACTTCTGCACCTTGCAGGATAAGAAGTCAGGACCTTCGGTCTTGAGCTCGTATGCCTTACCTCTGGACCACTGTGCCGGTATCCAACGGTGTTAACGTCTAACTCTGATCAGTCTAAGGCATATCAAGTATTAAATGTTTAGTTTGTTGAGGTTTCATTAAGTTCATCAACTGATATGCTTGAATGTTATTACGAGTTCACCTTAGTCGGTAACCGGGAGCGAAGACAAATGACCCAGCCACACAATCCGAGTGTCCCAAGTCCCCATTAAGTAGAGGAAGAAGTCTTGACAAGACCTAGAAAGTGTATTGTACAAGCACCCAGAAAATGTAATAATCTCAAGCACACAAATCGAGTTTATTTATACATCATATAAACGTCCTTATATATAATACTTTTAAAACTTACTGACCCTCTAATACATACACTGACAATTTATATTTTTTGAAACTATAAATCGATCAATGTTAGATCACCATTAGACAAACCTGGAAGCACTGGACGGCTGTTTCGTTTCAAAAAATGTGTAACTTAATAATCTTCACAACCCTGTAATGCAAATTACTTGTGCTCACTAGTGACAACTAGCTTCGTGAGGAATCTTCTCCGAGTTCTATTGGTGGGAAGACGTGACCAGTGAAGTTCTACCTGTTTTTGGGTGTAGACAGTAACTACTACCAAAGACTGTGTATGAGGTTGCGCAACTCCGTGAATTTGATCAAGTTAGACATTAACACCGTTAGATACCGGCTCGGTGGTCTAGAGGTTAGGGCGTTTGCGCACAAGACCGAAGGTTCTGTTTCGAGTCGTGGATGAGCACTACTAATCAGTCCCATACCAGGACGAAACGGCCGTCTGTCAGCGCTTCCAGGTTTCCATCTAATGTTGTTGGTCTAACATTGATCGATTCATGGTTTCGAAAAATGATGTGTAACTTAACAATCTTCACAACCCCATAATGCAAATCTATATTTTAACAAATCTTTCCTAAACATTCACAAAATATCCAATAATGATAATAATAATCGGCATGATTTACTTACACAGCTATGCATGTGTGTGTGTGAGTGTGCGTGTATGTGTGAATACAACTAGTAAGTGAATAAATTAATCTGAAATATGCATTTTCTTTTCAAAAAAATACCTTGCTTGATTTAAATGTATGTATATCTTGCCTACTAAATTTTTGTCGCTATAAACTGCATTTTATTCTTTTACGTACGTACATACTTGTTTCGTTAGTCAATAAGTAGTTTATTGCATCTCATTCAATAATGTTCACTATGGGGGGAAAAACAAACATTCATAAGTATGGGGCAGTTGCTTATTTTTTTTTCTAAAAGACACAAGGACACAAGGATATATATCAAATGGTTAAATATCGTGCAGTGAGTGTTTTTTTAAAAAAATTTTTAAAATGTTGAATATTTTTATTTGTCGGGAATTGATTAAAAATCAAAATACTGAGAAATATTTTTTTTTAGAAAAAAAAATTCAAAACAGAATAAAAATCTAAAAGTGCAATTTTATTGCGATGGTTTCAAATATTGTTCGTGAAGTTGTATCGGCATTATGTGGTTGTGAAGATTGTTGAGTGACTTATTGAAATCATGAATCGATTAATGTCAGAACATCATCATTAGAGAAACCTGGAATCACTAAAAGACGGCCGTTTCGTCCTGATATACGACTCATCAACATGAGGTTGCGCAAGACCGTGAACAGTGAAATGTCAGACAATCAATTGATGTTTGCAACAGTTCGATATGATGAACTGATATTTCGCAAATTAACGATTTACTATATGGTTTTCCTATTTTACTGAGTAACTCTGTAATTTCCGTTAAATACAATTCGGTTGCTCCACCGGTGTTCTCCTTCACTACATCTGGTGTCACTGCCTGCTCGAAGGAAGGAGCTCCTTTGGCCGAAGGAATCGGAGGACGGAGATTTGCGGAGCTGGAGGAGTTTGAGGCTGCGGTGGAGTTGGTGGGGGCCCGGGGCGGAGTTTGCGGTGGAACTGTCTGTGGAGCTCACGATGTTGCTGCGCCGTACGCTGCCGAATATCGATGAGGAGTCAGGGGCACAGAGCTGGCGTCGCAATTTATCGAGAGTGTGCCTGCCGCCGTGTCCCAGCAGCGGTAACTAGTAAACGCTGCACGTTGGACAGATGCCGTACCCATTCCAGACCAGCGGGCAAGAACAATGACCGAAGTAGTAATCCGGCATATTGTAGCGCGTCACGGAATACTGAAGGTGATATTAACTGACCAGGGTCCCTGTTTTGAAAGTCTTGCTTAAATTTTTACTATAAACCGCATTTTGTTTGTACACACTGATCGTGAGAATAATGAGGCAGGCGCGGTAGATTGTATTATGCAAATTTACACTCTCAGTCAGTTAAAAACGAAAACATTACATTGAATACACTCTATTTGCACACCATCTTTGAGTCGTCGTGACTTCCAACACTCCAGCCTTCTTCTTCGATTCCTGTTGTTGCTTCCTTTCCTTCTTCCTGTTGGTACTACTCCATTTACTTCTTGCTTTTTCTCCATTTGCTTTCTGTTTTCCTCTTCTAACCGTGCAACTTCTTCTTTCACGTCCCTTCTTATACTACTTATATATCGTTCGTATAAGTAGCACACACCAAAATCGAAGTTAGACATTCACACCGTTAGATAGGTGTTCATGGGTAAGACCGAATGTTCTAGGTTTGAATTCACCGAGGTGACATCGTCGTTGATACGCACTATTGATGAGTCCCCTATCAGGACGAGACGGTCATTCAGTGCTTGCAAGTTTCGTTCTAATGATGGTCTAACATTGATCAACTTATGATTTCAAGAAGTTATATTCATAACAGATTGATTTCATTTAGGATACTAGTGAATGACAATAGACAATGTACAACTATTTGTTCTCGTCAAGAGGATTACTGCTACCATGAATAATCATATTCTGATGATCTAACCTTTTTTTACAAAAAAATTTTTATTCGATCAAACTAAAAATCTCACTAAAGGTGATGAAAAAAGGTAAGGTCGATTTTTGATGAAGTAATGCGTTTTGTAAGTAACTGCTGACATACATTCAATCACAAAACAAGCGGAAATCTTGAACAGTAAGAAAAAAACCCTTAAGAAGACGAAAGAACTTTTTTCTAATAAAAAACTTAATGAGACTGATCTGAGAAACAAATCAAAAGAGAGGTAAACGCGATAAATAGCCAAAGAAATGTGTGTGATCACCAGTTAAATTTAAGTTCTCGCACATCAAAATTATCAACCAATCATTGTTAGAACAATATTAGAAACCTAGGAGCACTGAAAGACGGCCGTTTCGTCCTGGTATTACATACAACAACAGTGCGCATCCTCGACTCCTGCACGCCGCAGTACTCGAACCCAGGACCTTCGGTCTTGTGCGTGAACGCTGAACCTCTGGACCACTGAACCGGCTTCCAGCGGTATTAATGTCTATATCCGATTGACCTAGAGATTTTGCGCGACCTCATCCATTTGTCTTTGGTAGTAGTTACTGCCTACACCAGACAGGGTTGGACTCCACTGATCTCATGGCTTCTGACTGAGAACTCCGAGAATTCCCGCACGAAGCTAGTCATCACTAGTGAGTATATTTACGACTTTTTTTTCAATTAGAGTTACGGAGATTTGTGTGTTTTTACACATACTGAAATCATCAATCAATCAATCAATCAATCGTTGTTTTAGACCACTAGCATTAAAAAACCTGGAAGTTCAAGTTGTTAATTAACTGTCAAGAAAACAAATTCCCAACGAAACTATTCAAAATGTCAACAGTAATTTCACAATCATACTTTCATAGTATTTTATCACAGTCATAGAAATTATAGAAATCTTTTTCAATAAATCTTAAATTTCTATACTAATTAAATTTCATGATTCGTTTAACTAAGTATGTAGTGAACGAGAACACAGGTGAGGGCAACCGAATTGATTATGTTTAACGAAAATTACAGAGTTACTCAGTAAAATTGGAAAAAACCATATCGTAAATTGTTCATTTGCAAAAGATCAGTTCATCCTATGGAACTGGACTGTTGTTCCTGTTGCAAAATATCAACAATCCATTGTCACACTATTCATGCGTTTCATACAAATTCCATTGTGTTCCCACTCTTCTTCCTTTCTCTTGATCTTCCCCCATCTTCTGCTGCCAAACATTACGTTGACACTCACGTCATATACTACTTTTAAGTAGCACGCACCACAAGTAAAATTGACAGCATAGAATAGATGTAGATTAACATTGAAATCCACATCCAGTTGAAATTGACTATTAATCACCAGGACATACATATATATTACAAGCTCATCACAGAGAAGATAAATAAATTCATAGTAAAGAATATATTTGCTGGCAATTTCGTGGTATTGAAATGTTAGGATATTTATTCATTAAATATCCAACGAAGAAACATTTTGTAAGTGTAAATTGGAATTGGCCAATTCCTATTGATCGTCCTAGATATCAATGTCACGTACTCCAATCTTGTTTCTTATTGGCCACCTTGAATGTCAATGTCACAGACATCGATGCTGTTACCTAACTTTATAAATACGCATTATCTATATCGTTTTATAGACTCGACCCGGATCCCTAGTCCGGGATACTTGTCTTCTTCTGTACTCGGACCTCTTACTTTCTGGATGCTTGTAGAATACGGGTTCTACTTCATTTCAAATCTTCTTCTTTTTATTCAATAGGGGTTGAGACACTCAGATTAGAGTAGCATGTCGTGTCGCCGCATCCTCTCGTTTTCCGACTAAGGTAAACTCGTATTATGGTGTGAGCTACTTATAAGTAGTATATGAC